TAAAATATTAAGAGGGGGTATACCTTAAAAGTGTGTTATATGTGAGGATAGTCTGTGTATATAGCCATATATATACACTCAGAATCACATCCCTGGATATAAAAGCCAAATTTTACTTGGCATTCATTCCACAGGGGACTATACTCACATTCATATAAAACAGCTCCTTACCACAATGAGTACTAACAAGGTCAAGTATTTATTACTGTCATGAAAAGAAAGTTTTAATGTAATACTTTCATATCAGGGTTTCGTGGGAACACAAAGAGGGTGAACATAAAGTCTTGCTAAGAATGTAGCACCATGACAGTGTACTTCCTTTTTTTTTTTTTTAAGAGTTATTTATTTATTCAGGGGTATAAGCCAGAGGTGCAGGGGCAATGAGAGGCTTCACCAGAGACAGAGTGGGGAGCAGAACAGGCAGATCGATGAAGTACACTGCTGAGGGGAGCAGCGGGCAGGTCAGGAGAGATCTGCAGCACCATGTGGATCACCTCCATGGCTGGGGATTGAACTCACACTGATGTGGCTGCAGCCAGCCTGCAGTGCTACGTCCCAAACCATTGCACCACCAGTGAGGATGACAGTGTACTTCTTAATGTTCGAGTGTACACATTTCTTTACCTCTTCTTTCCTTCTAGTATATAAGTTTGAATACTGTCTTTTCTAATACTGTCTATTACATCTCAAATCAGCCAAATCCTGAGTGAGCACAAACCCAAAGTAGGATTAGCAAAAGGAACTGCCTGTCTCCTTTCCTGACAGCAGTTGCAATAGCGACAATGTTGCTGCTCTTCAGGTGGCATGTTTATAAACTGAGCACATTTCAGAAACAGCAAAATTTGCACCTGCCAGTCTGGGGCTTGCTATATATGGCTGATACTTGTTACTTGTTAAGTCCATCTTCTCGTACCCCAGTAATAATCAATGAACAGAAAAATAACCTACCATTTCTACTTGGAAAATTTAGGCAGTCAGGGGGATATGATACCTGCAGTTAGTTTTAGAAATAATGTCCGTTGGAAGTCTCCCACTTGTTTAGAGAACATAGTTAGTTTAAATGTCTTGCATAACAGCCCTGCCATCTCGGCACACAACAGTTAAGTAACAGAAGCAATGTTCCTGAGAGACAACTCAAAGAAAGCAGCATGGAGTATAACCGCACATACTTCAGAGAACTTACAGTCACATACATGCATTTACAAGGGGAAATGAAAAGAAACTGTTATCTTGGGTTGGGAGAGAGGAGGAACTGACACATACTCAGTCTATAAGTATCTCATCAGTACATTATCCTAAATTCTGAAATTACAGGAATCTCTCTTTTTGGGAAAACACTTCACTATCCTAAAGAGTAACACCAGGTAAACCCAATCCAGACCAGAATATGTTGCCATCAACTCTGCTAGTTCCAAGACAACAGTAGTGTTGCTACAGCCAACGATTCCTTGGCATACAGACATGTTAAAATGATATTGGCAGCAGCACTGGCTCTTCTCTTTCACCCTCTGCTGTTACTATAGTTCCTTTTGCTAAATCTGCCTCCGAGTTTAGACAGGAGCTGGATGGTTCATAATCACCCAGCAGCTGCAGCTGAGCAATACTCAGCCTAATTGTGGCGCTGGAGCAGCTGAGAGGAAGAAAGGAGATAATACATGCCTACCATAGCGCCACACAAACTGCCGCACACACTACCAATAAGACACTTTAATTTGAACAGATTATCTCCTTTAAAGAAAAGCAGTTGTACCTCACTAAAGGAGTGTGTATTTGTATTTCAATGTGAACTGAAGGTGACCTAAGCCATGTAGAGTTCTGAACAATAGAAGATCTTAACTAAAACTTCCTGTAAATATTCACACAACAAAGCCAGCACCACAAACATCACCTTTATAACATGACTGAAGGTTCCTGTGATATAAGAGCTTGGCATAGATATCATCTCTTCTTCAACTCTACATTACAACAATGCAAAGTTACAACAACTAAAACAGCAAGCCATTAAACAAAGCAAATAAAATACCATAATAAAAATGAGCCCTAGCATTTTTAAAACTCCCACACTGTACTGTCATTGGCTTTCTTTGGAACAAAACGCACTCTTCCTTTAGATGCTGAGATTTTTTTCATAACATCCCTAAGGATATCAAAACTAAAGTAGAAATAACTGATGTAAAAGAATTGCTGTTCCAGAAAACTAAAATGGATTACAATTTAATACTGTGATGATGTAAACTTTGGAGTTTTAACTGACGCATTACCTTTTCAGAAAAAGTATATTGTATATTTGATGACAGAATGGTTTCATTAGTTTAATAAACATATTTTGATTAACTGTTACTCGTCACAATATATCAGCTGAAGAGGATCTTAAGAATAAAAGTTGGTGTTTTCTCTCAATTTATTAACATAATTAAACCGTTATTTATACACCAAAGTGGTTATACACACTAGCTGCGATATAACAATCATGATTTAATAGGTCTAATCATGATTGCAAAGAACAGCTTAGGCAGTGTTCTAAATTCAGTCACCAAATACTGTTCTTTATTCAGGCACCTTATTAAGTACTTTACACAAGGTTTCTTCAAAAAGAAAAATATATAAACTAAAACAAAGGCACCAAAAAGCACACAGAATGTGTGTGTGGCTTAATGAACGACATTAAGGTCAACACTACTGCAACCACCACCAGGTTGGGAAAACTTGCACCACATTAGAAGTCAAGTCCCCATCAAAAGTTCCTCCATCCACATATTGTATGAGAAACACTTCCTTACAGGTTTTTAAAATATACATGTAGTTTTGTCACCCAACTTTGTATATGTAGATAACAGAAATTAATACTGCTTTTTAAATTTTGGGGGGGCTTCTTATTTAATATAATGCCAATAGCAACTAATAAATGATGCTGTTCAGTATACTGAAAAGACTAAGAGCTAAATATATGTATGAAGCATAATTACTCTAAGATCAATTAATGATTACCAGAAGTGAAGGGGGAGAAGTGGGTAAATCAGGTAAAAGAAAATCAGTTATATAATGATGATAGAACTGGGCTTCTAATGGTAAGATTAATGTAGTACACATACATGTGGATTTTAAATGATGCAAACCTGAAATATAGGTGTTTTAATATAATGTTCTTCAATTAAAAAAATAGCTCATTAATAAATTTACTGCCGAAAGATGCAAACTTGAACTTTGTATTAAAGGTCTTACATCCTGTATTGGCAATATTTCACTTGGAGGGTCATTGCTATTCTTTTAGAATAGTCTTTTAACAAAGTATACCACGAAGATGATTTATTTTCATTGACAATGATTTTCAACTTGAGAATTTCCTGAATTAAAAAAACTTAAACCATGAATTAGTATTATTTCGACCATAAAACAAATCCCACCTACCCTAGAAAGAGTAGTCAAAGTTGTAATTTCACTTTCAGTTGAACAGAAATAAGTCAATTTTGTGGTTTATGGAGTCAGCAAGAACATACTACAAAATTAAAGCTATTGTACCATTATGGTAGTTACAGCCAAGTATATATTTTAAGTGTTTTATCTTTTATACTGAAAACATAGACATGAATACTCTTGTACTCAGATTCTGATCAAAGTAACTGTTCTTTTGAAGGCAGTCAAAATCCCTAGAGTTTAGCTAAACTACAAAAATTAAAATATAATTAAGTTTCCTTTTAAGTGTCAATTATGGCTTTAGTAAAAATGTGTTATGTGTGCACGTTTGTAAATAAATGGCTTAGTGAACACAACTTTCTTACAGAACAATGTATGAATCACATATGTACGATACAAGATCCTTGGCTTCTGAGACAAGACCCTCCTTCATTACCTGTCCATTCAAAATGTCTCCTGTCCAGAGAGAATCAAGCACTGAGTTAGATATGATTTATCACATACTTCACCTTAAATGCAAAGTCACACGGAATTTAACAGGATGGTTTAGAATTAAGGGATCTTTGCACATAATCCTACACTTACAGTACACAAACATACTACAATCACACACGTACATGTGAAATCACCTATGTGAAAACATATACCAGTGAAACACATAATAAAGTTTTGATTCCAACACTTCTCATTTCTTTAATAATCTATACGTAGTTAGGCCGTATGTTACCTCACGACTGTTTCAGTTCATTATGTTCGAAACAACTCAACCAAATTATGGCTCCCTCACTACACTACAAAACAAAAATCACGGCAACTCCTACAACAGACTTGACTTTCGAAGAGCTTAAAGCAACGTAGCCCTATGCCCAATAAAGCAAAAGCTGGAAGCAATTACCAAGAAGGAAAAAAAAAAAAAACACTTTAAAACAAAATTTTCTGTAACACATGTGAGCAGATTCGAAACAAATGGGAGGCCGGGTGGCAGAATACTGTAAAAGTGGATCCTGAATGGCATATTTCCCAGCCCCCAACACAAAACAAAGGAAAACTTTAACATGTTGCGGTTTTCAATCAAACCGAGACGCAGGAGGCTCACTCCCTCGCCGACACACACCCTCGTCCGCGCTCCCGGCACAGTTGCCACCCCGCGTCAGCCGGCGCGCGCGCACACTCACTCTCACACTCACACGCAGTCCCCCAACCTCTGGGACACAAGGGCCGCTGCCCTCACCCCTCGCGTGGCCCTCGCACGCCAAAATAAGCCTGGCCCCCACCTCGCAGTGTGGCCCACTCGATCCTAAAGACGCGGGTGGGGGTATCCCTTGCTCCCAGGACTTCACCTCGGACTTGGGCGGGACCGGGAAGCACTGGACGGGGCGGAGACCAAGGCAAGGGGCAAGCAGGTAGCGCCGGGAAGGAGACACGCCCGCCGGCCAAGGGAGGGGAGAAGTTTCTCCTCAACTTCCCGACTTGGAGCCGGCGGGGGCGGGGAGCCGCGGCGCTTCCCGGCGCCAGCAAGCGACAGGGCCTAGCGCTGCCGGCCGGGGGTCGGCCGCCTCTGCCGCGGGGTGCAGCCGGGTGCTTACCTGCCCTCCGGTCGCGCTCTCATGAGGCGCTGCGGCGGGGAGGAGTGGCGGGGAGGGGGCGGCGGGCGGCGGCGAGGCCCGCGGGGCCCTCTCCCTCCTCCACCTCCTCGTCCCGGGCGCCTGGCGGCTGCTGCGACGGCACGGCCGGCCCCGGACTCGTTACTTCAGGAGGAGGGAATTCCCGGGCTCCCCCACCCCTCGGCCTCACTCTCCACCTTCTCCCGCCGGGTGCCCGCCCTCGCTCTGGCTCCGCCCCTTCACTCCGCGGCGGGGACGGGGGCGGGGGCAGGGGCGAGGCGGGGGCTGAGGCTACCTGCCCGCGCGGCGGAACCGCTCACCGGAACTCGCGCCGCTCCCGCGCTGGCTCGAACGCCCCGCGCCTTCCCGCACCGGCGCGCGCCCCCTGGGGGTCGGGTTGCAGTCCGTCCGGGAGGCGAGTTCGAGTCACTTATTTCTACCCAACATGGCGGCGGGGTCCGGGCGGATTCCCCAGGCGGCGCGGGTTGAGGGGGCGTGAGGAGGAGGCGCTTCTGCTGGCGGAGAGCAGCCCACAGCGCCCTCCGCACCCGCAGACCCCGCGGCCTCCTCCGCATCCGCAGACCCCGCGATCGGTGGATCGCTCGGCGGATCGGCAGCTGCGGGAAAGGGGAGTAGAGGCCGTAGATTCCACCCTCTCTGCTGGGCCCTTTTCCCTTGCGCTCTTCTCTGGTGTGCAGAGCTTTGGGGCTTTGTTTGTTTTTGTGGGGGAGGACCGGGTTGAGTTCCTTTCGGTGGGTTGTTTGTTTTTCCGTACTGTGCTTCCGCACCCTTTGTGGATGATAGTAAAATCTCAGCGGAGCCGCGGGAGCCAGGGGGGCGTTACTAACACTCATCACCGTCCGAATCGCCGTCCTAAAACGCTCGCGTCTGGCCTCCTTCCGAGTCTGAGATCCTGTCCCAGCCCCAGGAGCTTCCTGTTGACTGTAGGTCGCACCAGCCTTGCCGGGAGGGGGAACGAAGCCCAGTTCTGCTGGCGACTTTCCCAGTAATGATAGCTTGGTTTATCTTGGGACAGCGCATTCTTACAGGAATCTGGCTACATCCTAGTGAGGCAACTGGCATTGACATTATTACTCTGGTATACATTTGTGGAAACTGAGGCTGCCCCTCCGAAAGTGGAGCAGTGACAGCTACAACCCTGCTCATCTGAAGCTATGCACCTTTCTTCTTTTCCTTGTAGCCAGTCGCTAAAGGAAGAGGTAACTAATCCAGAACAGATTGAGATAAAGATGAGGGTTAGTCAAGGTCGGAACGGGCTGAGTGTTGGACTCTTCTTCGGCCCTGGATGGCTATTAGATTAACATCCCCTTTGTACTTCCTCTTTGTGGGGTTATCAAAACTACTAATGTCGGACTGTTGGTTTCCTTTGTGGTTTTAGCGAAATTAACAATCATCTTCGACTTAGGCTTTTAGCTCCACGTGTTTTAGGAACGTAACAAAACTATGTAAAAGTTTAGAGGGTTTTTTTTTTTCTTCACCTCACTAAAGGATCCACGTTAGCAAAGAAGTACACAAAATGGAACCATGCTTTATTTGATTTAGCTATTAAATCTTCATTTGTCATCGACTGTCATGGACATTAAGAAAGTCATGTAGATTTACATGCAGCTTTTTTTTAAAAGTTGCATTGTTACTTTTCTAGATAAAAAAGATAATTTGGTGTCCTAAATTTACAGCCTCGAAAATAGCAACTCAAATCTAATCTCCAGTTTAAGGGGTGAAGTGGCTTTGAAGTTTTTTGTGGAGATTTAAAGGTGGGAGGTAGTGTCAAGATTCTTTTACCTGATAAGTTATATTAATGCAGTTTCTTCACCCTCATTCTGATTGTTTTTGTTACTTCACTTTCATTCAGGGGTTTTCTTATTTTGAACTATTCATAGTAACCTGGAGACCAGTTTCCAGTCAGTGGCTCACTTGTTTCTAGGAACAGCTAAAACTCACACACATCAAGAGAGAATCTCTAGTCTATCTGAACTTGGTACAACAGAAAGTGCTATTAAGTGAAAATCTGTTCACTCACAAAATGGACAAAGTTCACCCCTGTGGCCCTCCCTCACAGCATAGAGATCTTGTCTGTAGATGTGTATCATGGAATCCCTGGAAGATTCTGCAAGGGGAAAGCTGAAAACAAAATGAATGCGAGATATTAGTCTTTACAAAGTGTTCTGGCCTCTGCTCTCTAGTAACCCCCTTGCACCATCCGTCTTAAAATTCCTTTCACCAGACTTGTGCTAACTACTCAACACCTGGATTCCCTCACATGCACCATCTATCTATCTACTTGGCCAAAACTAAGCATAGGCCTACTGAAGAAGAATAGGAGTACTCCTCTAAGCAAAGATTTGCAAGACAAGGAAAGTATTGATCCTTGAGTACTAGTTTAATTGTGCCAAATTTAATGAGTGGAAAGTTGCAATAACCCATCAATTTCTAATGCTTCTGATGCTTTCATTGCCTCAGGGACTGGTGCTCATGTATTACAGTTTTATTTCTACTGAGCTGGATAAGCACAGAAAACTAATCCACTGAGTAGATATGGACGCTTCCTGTAATTAAATAGATGTAAGAAAAGGTGATCTTACATGAAATTAAACAAACCCAGCCCATTTCCCCCCTCTATTCTGTTTCTCTCTGCAGCTTTTAACTTCTTTGCTACCTGTTGAAGTTAGGATTCAACCTGAGACCAATCACTTTACCAGGTCCCTGACTATTTTTTAGAAGTCTAGTTTTTGCTGTTGAAATCTACTTTGCAGTCATCCCTTGGTTTGTTTTTGTGTGTAAAGTCCCCAGTTTCTGCTCTGACTCCTCCTGGGACCTGTTTTGTCTATTTGTAGTAACCCTACCTATACCTTCAAACTGTCGTATTCTCAACTTGGTTTCTCATTCTGGGACAGCAGTTTCTAAACTGGAAAGAACTTTCAGTCTTCTCACATTCCCTCTACCTAGCGGAATAAAGCATGCAGTGGACATCTTTTGAGCATATCTTTTTTAACCAGGTCCCTCTTTCCTGAGACTCTTTCCTTGACCAATACCTGGAGTGTATCCTGCAATCCAGGTCCTGTTACTCCCAAGCAACAGCTTGGAATTTGAAATTTTGAGGAAGTGATATAAAGGTAACTCAGATTACTCATGGTAGCTGCGGTAGAGTTGAGAGTCCAGTGCCAGAAAGTATCTAGAGATAGGAAAGTCCAATAACAGTAACAAGTGTCTTGTGATCATGGTGCCTGATTCCTAAGCAGACCATCTCTTCTGTGAGTCTGGGTTCTACCTCATATTCCTTGGTTCTTGCCTGAGTCTACACTACCAACCCTCCTCCCTTTCTCTAAACTTCTATTAAATTCTCTTTCTACTGTTCTTTCGGCTTGCACCTAGCTTGCAGTGACATAGCTCAACACACCAGGAAGGTTGGATTCATTGGTAAACATGCTACCCATAATGGCATCTTCCACAGGAAAATGGCGAAGAAAATTAAAATCAGCCAGCACTCCAAGTACCCTTGCTCCTATGGCAAAAAGATAGAGACAATCTGTGAGATGGTCTTGTGGTTCCGGCATGAAAATAGTAGCTAGTGATGCCAAGACCAACAATACTACTTCTGCTGTCATCGCAAATTCTGCCATCAGGAGACTGAAGGAAGCACCACCATTTGAAACATTGCTAGCCTGTAATAAATGGGTTAATTTTTGTAACAAAAATGATTTTGCTTACATCAAGTACACATCATCTCTCTTCTTTGCAAATAAGAACCATTTCTTTGTCACTGCTACTTGTGTTGATACTAAGTCCAGGTCATGAAAGAGCAACATTTGCCTTGTCCAAAGGATAAGAAGGAGGTTATGGAGTTGAAGAATCAGTTTTCGGAGAGACAGAATGAAACAGAGGTACGTGAGAAGCAAGGATAAGAGATTGCAGGACCTCCTAACAGTAACACCCTCCTTGCTCTGAGCCACCTTCAGACCTTAAACTGAGAACAGAGATGGTAAATTTCATTTCCTGCCTGCACAGAGCAGTCACTGCTTTTAGAGCACAGCTTAGCATATACTCTCTCAGAGCCTGACTTCAAAACTCTTCTCAACTCAGTTCAGCAACCACCTAGATGTTGAAACCCATTTGATATTGCTGTATAAACTTGAAATTTCCTCTGTAGAAATTCAATATTTGCATTCCTATAGCCATTACCAAATGCTTGACCTTTACTTTTCTAATGTATTAAGCTATATGCGGTCATAATGTGTTAGTGACTCTGACATTGAGTTTAAACACCATTAATATTGCTACCACATTGCTTCCTGGAAATTTTTACAAATGGGTTATGAAAAGTAGAACATAATTTTGCTTGAAGGCAAGAAGTTAAACTTAGAATGTTTACCCACATCAAAGCTTTAGAAAAGTAACTATAAGTCAAGAAGTCTCTTACCTTTTAAACTAACTGATATCAGATAGTGAAACACAAAAGGCTGGTGTGAAGGATTGTTTAAATTTTTTTTGCTGGCTGATATTTTGACTGAGGTTTGAAAAAATATACTAAAAATAAATCCATGCTTTTGAAAACCTGTTCTATGGCCTTTTTAAAGCTAAAGCTTTTCTATTTTCAGTGGTATAGATAATTAATTTTCACATTTGTGTCTGAATATATTAAAATCTGACCAGATGTTATTTTTTGGTGTACACCATTAAAGAATTTACTCTTTTAGCAAAATACATTTATCCTTTTTTTGGCTTGTATATGAATAAAACCTTTGATTATTTCTAACAGCTACTTTTAATATTTTTGTCGGGGCATAACTTACACAAAAATATGTAACATAAGATCTATACTTTGACAAAAATGTCTTAGGTCATGTGAATGAAGAAATGAGATTGTCAATACAAACATTAGGATTGATAATAAGAAATGGTTATCCTTTCTTGAGCCCTGATGGTGAGCCTGCTGCTTTACTTACATCTTTCACTGAATCCTCTTAATCACCCTGGAGACTGTAGTATTATCCCCTTTTATAGGCTGGAGTCCTTGGAGGGGTAAAGTAACACACTAATAGAAGGAAATGCTCAAAATGTGAACATTATAGAAAAAATATTCAGTGTTATTTCAGTGACCATGTAAAACAGCATTTATTTCTCTAAA